GTTATGCAACACTGTACCGATTATGAAATTTTTATCTTTTTTTTCACACAAATCGAGCTTGCTTGTGGTGGTAGTTAATGAGCAACAAATTTGAAAAAAAAAATTCTATGTTTCTACTATAAAATTTTGCAAACAGGTAAACTTTCTCCTTCACTGATGTGCATTGATGAGCCTGCACTGAGAGTAAGCAATGATGGGTACTGATAGTCAGCACTAATGAGGTGACACTGGTGGAAATTGAGGAGGAGGCACTGCTGATGCTGCACTGATATGCAGCACTGATGGGCAGTGATAGGCGGCAGTGATGGGCACTGATAGGCAGCACTGATGGGCACTGACTGGCAGCACCGATAGGTAATGATTTGTGGCACTGATAGGCACTGATGGGTGGCACTGATGGGCACTTTTGGGGCTGCACTGATAATCAGGGCACTGATTATCAGTGCAGATGTCCTCTGTGACACTACTTGTAGCAGTACTTTCCTAACGCTGTGACCGGCAACTGCATTTACTTTGTGATCAGCTGTGTCATTGGATTGCCACTGTGATTGGCCTTTTACCTTGTCATGTGATAAGCTGTGTTCGTAGGAATCAGCGATCACAAACAGCAATGCGGGGGGGGGGGGGGGGTTGGTTCATATGATGTCATATGATGCCCTCCCAGAACTGGACAACTGCTCTTTAGCCCGGCCTTAGCCCGGTTGTCAAATGGTTAATGACTAATTAGACTCACCCGTAGTTGAATTCTTGTTAATTAGGATTTTGTTTCCTAAAATTTAGCTTTGCTCCTAAGACTTTCATTGGGGTGTATTCATTTTTGCATCATGTTCTTGAATTAATTTGTTATAGTGTCCCAAGGAAAATGTTTATTCTGCAAGGAAAGTAAAGGTTTTCTGACAAATCTGTTGGGGTATACTCATTTATGCTGAGCACTGTATATATATATATATATATATATATATATATATATATATATATATATATTTTTGTTGAATTATGTAACAATATATATAATGTTCATTAAAGTGTTTTATACTTTTTTTTTTTATATGTTTTATGAAAAGCTAGGTGATATAATCAGTGCAACGGTAACCTGATTTGTCTGGCTACTACAAGATAAAGCACATCCAAGGATATTGCAGCACTGAAATTTATACCTATGGGTCTAAGAGATTACTTTACACACTTGACAACTTCATGGCCACATTTAAGGTCTGTAAACAGAAAGTGAAGCATAGTGTTATTGACTATAAATCAGTTCAAAATGTTATAACATGTCTTGCCTAGGACTAATCAATTCTTAACTAAAGCCTCAAATGCTTTAAAGTTTGCAACAGCTCATTTATTAGCATACCATACTTGCATGAGTTCAGAGAATTGGGAAGCAGAATGACATTCAAGTACATCGACACAAATTTTTACTAAAATATACACCAGAGTTTTCAAATATATTGTACGTGCAGCACTTTGCTGTTATAGATTTGACAAAATTGTAAACAAAAACAAAAAAACAATTTAATTCAGCAACACAGACGTTTTCATAGAATAGGCTGCATAATGAAACTTACATTGTGTAGATAGTGGTATATAGATACTAACACAAGTCAATTCAATGCCTACAGCATAAATATGTATACATTGCATTTAAAGGAGAAGTACAGCCAAAGTTCGTTTTGCTGTGCTTCACCTGTGGATCACAGGAGTGCAGTGTGTTCTGCACTTGTGTAACCCATTTTCAGCAAACAGTGGGCTAAAGCTTCCTGTTGGCTGTTGGCTTACATCACAGAGTGCGTTTATGCTGGGGAAAGATTGCTACCAAATGGTTAGGATCCATCCAGGAGCCTGGACCGGAACCTGGCTCAGCCTCTCAGCGAGTTGCTGAGAGCCTGAACCGGCCTCTCCTACCCCCTTCACAGCCCAGTGCTCCCGTGAGTGCTGGGGGGGGGGGGGGCAGAGCAGACAGGGGTGACTGACAGTTCCCAGCCTTAGAGCCAGGGGGGGCCAGAAGCATCATCAGATCGATTCTGCATCCACCTAGGCAAGTATGATTTTAAAAAGAAAAGTTGATCCCATGCTTCTCTTTTAAACTACAAGAATTAGGAAGGTTCTTTTAATAGTTACTCATGCAAGGGAAGCTGGTACATGAAATCATAGACCAAAAATGTAGTAACCCAACGCAGCAATTTACATATTATTGAAGTTGCAAGAAAATTTATTATTAGCTATGGGTTATGTTGTACATTGTTTTCCTTACTGAATATTAATCCATCCCTGGCCAGCCCCTGCATACCTTTGACAGAGTTTTTATGTCTGGGGGGGGGGGGGGGTATGTTCTGGGGAGTGGTTCGGAAATTGAATGCAGTGGTGATAGCAGGATTACAAGTACAAAAATGAGCAATGAGAGTGTTTTTTATGGACTTTTTAATCGATGGCACAATTTTTTTTTTTTCATGATTACTGGTGTGGTGGATAAGGAGAAACACTGAATTTTGGTTATGTATTTTGCACATAATAGGTAGACTAATATTAATTGCTTATAGTCACAAGCTTTTCTTTTTATTATTACATATGCATTATATCTATGCTCTACAGTTTACGGTTTGTGTAAAAAAAAGAAGGGGTTCTATTGTTAACTGTATGTACAATACTGGGTTCTAGCACTGTATTTGGCATTGTTGTATTATGGTATGAAAAAGGAACTATCATATTTTAATTAGCGGGATCACTTGTAAATTGTTAGTTACATGCATAAAAGGGATGCCATTCTTCCATAAGTCTACATTTGCCTGATAACTAACCATATTTAGTCATCACTGATAGCTAGCTGTATAGCACATGTATTAACACTAGAGGCTACTAAGTGATATATCAGCATGGATGTCACTCCACTTCCTCAAACTAAATCTTTCTAAAACAGAGCTTATGCTATTCCCTCCAGCCCGTGCCCCCTCCCCTGACTTCTCTATCAAGATCAATAATACAACCATCAGTCCCTCCCCTCATGCCAGGGTGCTAGGTGTAATCTTAGACTCCCATCTGTCCTTTCAGCCCCAAATGCAATCACTGTTCAAATCTTATCACTGTCCAAATCTTGCAGACTTCACCTCTGCAACATCTCCAACATATGCCCGTTCTTAACCTCTGACACTACTAAGCAACTTATTCCCTTGTTATCTTTTGCCTTGACTATTGTAACTCCCTACCTATTGGCCTACCTCATCGCAGGCTATCCCCTCTTCACAAAAAATAAAAAATAAATAATACAAATTAAATAAATAAAATAAATGCAGTGTCCAAAATTCCAAAGTGATATATTTGTGTCCAAAAAATAAAGTCACACTCTAAAATTGTAAATCCAAGACCTCACTGCAGAAAACCTTCCAAAAGACTCCAAACCTCAAAGTGATCCTCAAAAAAAAAGAAAACTAAAAAATAGTGTATTATCCTTATATCAATAGTGTACAATAATATTCAACATATGTGTCACTTCACATCATACGTGACCATATACGTGACCAGTGAGCTCAACGTGAGAAAACGTGCTAGTGAAACACTCTAGTGATCCAAAAAAATCAAAGTGCTGGTAATAGTGAACACTTCTATAGTGTAAAGACTGAATACCCTTACCAGATGGTAAAGAAAACCACACTTTAATACCACTAAGGGTATACACCATCCAAGGAAAGCTATCCCAGCCTGGATCGATATTCTTTAAGATGTCCTCACAGCCTCATGGATAAAAGCTCCTAGCTGTGATCAGGACCTTGAGCAGGAGTACTCAGTAGTACTCATAGTACCCATGCTCCATCGATATCCATCATATATAAAAAAGGGATATATAGTGTAATTCCATATGGTATAAAACAGATAACACTTTAATAATGCTCTTACTTTAAAAACAGATAAAATGCGCCAAAGCTCCATAGCCGAAACCTCTTGCAGAGTCTCAGCAGCTATCAGAAGCATTTGGATAGGATTTCTTCCTTGACGCGTTTCATCACAGGGACTTAATCATAAGGGTGTGTATGTCAGATGGGTCAATCACCTTTATAACAGTCTTTCCTATCAATATACAAATACAAAGCACGGTGTCCTATTCTCAGCCATATCATAATCTTTACTGATGCCGATCACAAGATGTCATAATATAACTGGGAAACATATTCAGCAGAAAGCCCTGTATGTAATCAATACTACTATTACCGCTATACACATGATCCTAATAGTAGCTCATTAATAAATTAATTAAAATAAACCAATTAAATCCATAAATAAAGTGCTTATCATCCTAATCTATATCTAAAACAATCAATATAATGGGATCTCTTAATCACATATAAATACATAAATAACTCTCATGGTCCTATAAACTCAAAATAATTACAGGATAAAATTATAATGATAAATAAATTAAAATAAACACTCTATAGTATATCCATAAGATGGACAACATATAAAAGCTATCTACATCTTCTTGTAATTAACCACTTGCCTACCAGGCACTTATACCCCCTTATGTACCAGGCCAATTTTCAGCTTTCAGCGCTGTCGCACTTTGAATGACAATTGCGCGGTCATGCAAGATTGTACCCATATGAAATTTTTTTTATCATTTTTTTCTCACAAATAGAGCTTTCTTTTGGTGGTATTTAATCGCTGCTGGGCACTTTACTTTTTGTGCTATAAGCAAAAAAAGTGCAAAAAAATTTGAGAAAAAAAAAAAAGTTTCTTTGTTTTCTTTATAAAATTTTTCAAACAGGTAATTTTTCTCCTTCACTGATGTGCGTTGATGAGGCAGCACTGATGGGCACTGATAGGCGGCACTGATGGGCACTGATAGGCAGCACTGAAGGGCACTGATAGGCGGCACTGATAGGCAGCACTAATGAGGTGGCACGGATAGGCTGCACTGATAGGCAGCACTAATGAGGTGTCACGGATAGGTGGCACTGATATGCGGCACTGATTGGTGGCACTGATAGGTGACACTGATAATGGGTACTGATAGACAGCACTGATAGGTGGCACTGACATCACTGCTGGGCACTGACTGGCGACACTGACTGGCACAACCGCTGGGCACTGACTGGCAGCACTGCTGGGCTGCACTGATGGGTGGCACTGGTGGGCACAGGTGGGTGGAACTGGTGGGCACAGGTGGGTGGCACTGGTGGGCACAGGTGGGTGGGCAAGGTGGGTGGCACTACTGGGCACAGGTGGTGGGCACAGGTGGGTGGCACTGCTGGGCACAGGTGGGTGGGCACAGGTGGGTGGCACTGCTGGGCACAGGTGGGTGCATTGCTGGGCACAGGTGGGCGGAACTTGTGTGTGGCACTGCTGGGCACCGATCATCAGGGCACTGATGATCAGTGATCCTGATGATCGGTGCCGATCCCCGCTCTGACAACTGCCGGTTTTCGGCAGCACTTTCCTCCCGCTCTGACAGCGTGAGGAAAGTGCAGCCGAGAACTGGCATTTGCATTTCCCGGTGATCAGCGTGTCATTGGACATGGCTGATAACGTGGTAAAAGGCCGCTGTGATTGGCCTTTTACCACGTCACGTGATCAGCTGTGTCCGTAGGACACAGCGATCACGGAGATCGCCGGGTGCGCGCCCCCGGGGGCGCGCAGGAGAGCGCGTTCTGGGAGGACGTCATATGACGTCCACCCAGAACTGGCCGGCCGCAGTGCAACCGTCATTCGGCTATCTGCGGTCGGCAGGTAGTTAATTAATAAAAATTATCAAATAATTATGTAATCATCAAATAATGTATCAAACAGCTATCACTATATAGGTAATTAACAGAGTAAATATCCCCATGTACACTAGTCCATTAAGTAATTAATTAATTAATTAAAAAATGTATGAACATTTTAAAATATTAGAATATATAAAATATGTAATTATAAAAATATTATTAAAATAATTATATTATAATAATTAATCTATTAAAAACCTGGATAACAATACTTCTGTCTTTAATAATTGAAAACAAAAAACAATTGAAATCTAAATCTACATTTAATCCTTTGGGTCTAAGAGTCTGTAATTGAAATATTCAGAGGGTTTCATTTTGGGAAATAACTTTTATTTTATCTCCCCCCCCCTCCAATGGGCTTCTATTCTATCAATCGCACAGAATCTTAAAACACTAGGATCGCAATCATGAAAATCTCTAAAATGTCTTGAAAGACAATGATCTCTCATCCCTTTTTTAATATTTGTCACGTGTTCTCTCAATCTTTTGTGTAGGGGTCTAGATGTCCTCCCCACGTACTGGAGACGACACGGACATCCCCTGTACTATGTGACAAAAACTCAGAAATTACTCTCTTATTAACATTTGTAATTTTGCAAATACTACATTTTTTTGCATGGAAAGAACTCTTTAAAATCAAACATATGCAGCTTTTTCTGTTTTGGGGGAGAAATAATACTTTTAACTAATATATCTCTCAGATTGTTAGTTTTTCTATAAATAAATGAGGGCTTCTCTGGTATAATTGAACCCAAAATCTTATCTTTCCAAAATCTTATTCTACTAATAATACTAATAAAAATATAGAAGTTTTTAATTTTGAATTTTATTCATTGGACAATGGGAAGCCAGTGGAGGGATTGGCAGGACAGGGATTGGGAGATTCAAAACATTAACAATAACATATAAAGCCATTTATAACTCTGCCCCAAATTACAACACCAATCTTGTCTCCAAATATCACCCAAACCATCCTCTCTGCTCCTCCCTTCTGCTCTCTAGCTCCCTTGATTCCTCCTCCCATTCTCATCTCAAGGACTTCTCCAGAGCCTCCCCTATCCTCTGGAACTCTCTAGCCCAATCTATCTGACTATCGCCTACTCTGCCCACTCTTAAGCGATCTCTGAAAGCCTATCTCCTCATGGAAGCCTATCCTGCCTTCAGCTGATAACCAAATCTTCTATTTTTCCTATCAGTTCATCCCCCACAGTTACCTTTTATACCACCAGCCCTTCCCTCTTAGATTGTAAGCCCCAAGGAGCAGGGCCCTCCTAACCCTCTTGTATTGAACTGTATTGTTGCTGTATTGTCTCCCTTTATATTGTAAAGCGCTGAGCAAACTATTGGTGCTATATAAATCCTGTATAATAAAATAATAATAACAAAATGTAAAAAGTCGCTGAGCTCTATGCCCCCCTTACCCTTACCTTTCTCCCTTTCCATTCTCCTATCCCCCTCCTTCCTTTTTTCTTTTCCCCATCCTTTGCTTCTTTTCCCTTCCCCTCACACCTCTTCTCTCGCTCCTCTTTCTCCTTCCCTTCCCTTCCCCTCCTTTCCCTCTCCTCTTCCTTCTCATTTCTTTAAGTAATGGCAAGATACAGTATTTTGCTAGATTTTGATATGTCTTAATATATTCAAATGTATTAGAATTTACATGCTTTATTAACTTCTGTGTTTAATTCTGTCTGTGATAAATGTGGTTTTGTATTACCTCTCTGGTTTTTACAAGGAGATGGTGAGATATAATTCATAATTAGAGAGACTGAACAGAATGTGCATATACATATTTCTACATTCCTGCCCCTACCCACCTCTACAATAAAGCCTAATCTTGTTAGTCAAATGCTAGGGAGGAGGTAGTCCTAGACAGGAAAGCATTGGGGACGATTTACTAAAACGGGTGCACTCAGAATCTGGTGCAGCTGTGCATGGTAGCCAATCAGCTTCTAACTTTAGCTTGTTCAATTAAGCTTTGGCAAGAAAACCTGGAAGCTGATTGGTTTCTATGCAGAGCTTCACCAGATTTTGCACTCTCCAGTTTTAGTAAATCAACCCCCATTGCCTGCTAGTCCAGATCTATAAAGCTGGCGGTGCTGAGTGTTATGGAATGTCACTGGTCAACTTGTTTCTGGGACCTGTATGGTTTTGTCAGGCATAGGATGAACTTCTTCCTCGCTGGTATGGTGAGAGACCTGACTTTGGGCTTGAGAACAGCACATCCTGTGTCTTTACGGAGGTCACTGAGCTAAAACAGACATTTTTGTGCTAAAAAAAGTGTGATATTTAGAGGGTTGCTACAAATCTACTTTAAGGTGCCTCCTTCACTCTTAGCTTTACAACAGCTAGGAATTTGAACCTTGGTAGCACTTAAGATCTGCCAATTTACTTACAGCTACCTCAGACAGCTTAAAATATAAAGGGTTTTTGAAAAGACCTGGCACAGTCTTCTTACATGTGTATACATGCTTTGACAGGGGAGCACCCTAGCTAAACCAAATGGAATAAACAAAAATTACAGCACTAAATTTCAAACACATATCTAATAACTACTTAATACAAACATATTTTATCTATAAATATATAAGCTAAATAAATATAAAATACACATTAAATTCATAAATAGTGCAAACATCAAAATACACAGTGAATGTCTAAATAAAAAAGAAAACAGGGCAAAATAAGGGGGAGAACGTCTCTATATCAAAATCCCAACAAGTGCCAACCACAGTGAAATACTTAATTCTTCAATCTAATGCTTCAGTAATCAGTGATGATTCCTCTCCCTGCACAAACAATCCCGTAGGGCAGTGGTCTCTAAACTGCGGCCCAGGGGCCAGATGCGATCCTTTGCTTGCTTTTATCTGGCCCTTGGGGCACTATTTCATCTACTGATACCAACAATTGGGTATAATTTCCCCCCACTTACACCAATGAAAGGGGCACAACTCTTTTCAATAACACCAAGGAGGGGGCACAACTCCTCCTAGTGACACAATTTATAGGATCCAATTACATCAATAATGGGGCAGGATTCCTCCCACTGACACCAAACAATGGGGCATTATTTTTTTCCACTGATGTTGGGACCTTTTCAACTCTCACTGACCACAGTCCGACCCTCATAAAGTCTGAAGGACAGTAAACTGGCCCTTTGTTTAGACATTTTAGAGACCCCTGCTGTGGGGAGTAAACTCAGCAAATTACAGTAGCCACTTAACTTAATAAGTAAGTCTAAAGTTCTATGTTTATTAGCAGGGAGTGGCTGCAGCAATCCCAGACATCAATTTCCTTTCACTGTCAGGAAGAAACACTCATTATATATGGATGTAAGTAGAAAATAGGAAGACAGCATAGTATAAAATCAACATTTATTTATTTATTTATTTAAAGTTTATATAGCGCCAAAGGGTTTGCTCAGCGCTGTACAATAGGGGGGGACAATACATGAAACAGTACAGTAACATCAAACAGCACACAAGGGGGTAAGAGGGCCCTACTCTTTTGAGCTTACAATCTAGGAGGGAGGGGGTAGAGGTACAGGAGGAAATGGCTGTGGGGGATGGAGTGGTAGGAGGAGGGAAGGGCAGCGGCTGTTAGGTGAGGGTGGGGTAGGCTTCCCTGAAGAGGTGGGTTTTCAGGGAGCGCCTGAAGGTGAGGAGGGAAGGTGACAGTCTGATGGATTGGGGTAGTGAGTTTCCAGAGGATGGGGGGAGGACCTGGAGAAGTCTTGCAGTCGTGCGTGGGAGGAGGAGACCAGGGAGCAAGATAGAAGGAGGTCCTGTGAAGAGCGAAGGGTACGGGTAGGGGTGGTACTTGGGAATCAGGTCGGTGAGGTAGTTAGGGGCAGTGTTGTGAATGGCTTTATAGGTCAGAGTGAGCAGTTTGAATTTAATGCGTTGGGCAATGGGGAGCCAGTGGAGGGAGAGGCAGAGGGGGGTGGCAGAGGTGGAGCGGCTGGTGAGGTGGATGAGTCTGGCAGCTGAGTTCAGGATGGTCTGAAGCGGGGAGAGTTTGCACTGGGGTAGGCATGAGGAGGGAGTTGCAGTAGTCCAGGCGTGAGATAATCAGGGAGTGAACGAGTAGTTTAGTGGTGTCTGGGGTAAGGAAGGAGCGTATTTTGGCGATGTTGCGAAGGTGGAGCCTGCATGTATTTGTGAGTGATTTGACATGAGGTTGGAAGGAAAGGTTTGAGTCCAGAATGACGCCAAGGACCTTGGCTTGCTGGGCGGGATTGATGGTGGTGTTGTTGGGTAGTGATGGAAAGGATGGGGGGGGGGGGCACGGGAAGGGGGAAAAGACGAGAAGCTCGGTTTTGGAGAGGTTGAGTTTGAGGAAATGGAGCGACATCCAGTCAGAGATGTCGTTTAGGAGGTGAGTGATCTACGGGCGGAGAATGTGGGGGTGAGGTGAGGGGTGGGATAGGTAGATTTGAGTATCATCAGCATAGAGGTGGTAGTTGAAGCCGTGGGAGTGTATGAGTTTGCCAAGGGAGGAGGTGTAGATGGAGAAGAGAAGGGGTCCAAGGACAGAGCCCTGGGGGACCCCAACAGAGAGGGGGAGGGAAGAGGAGGTGGCGCCCGTTGTAGGAAACGCTGAAGGAGCGTTGGGGATAGATAGACCGGTTTGTGTTTGTTAGTTGAGAATAAGTTAGTTTAAATAAACTTTAAATAAAATGTTAGTTTAAATAAACATCAGTTTATTTAAAACAAAATGGCACACCAGT